TTTGAAGGATGCTTTAATGATCCTTGGTATATGATATTCCCATCCTATCAGTGCCTTTTGTGCATGTTTGGACAGCATCAGTGCAACTCCTTGTGTATGTGAAGCATTTTCCTCTTCATGACCAGAGTATAACAGCAGTTCCCCTGAAGCTAGTCTCAGTTGTCCTACCTGTGTCCAATGCATTTCACTGATGCCGAGCACCTCGAGGATGTATGTTTTGATTTCTGCAGCAACTTGAAATAGTCTTCCAGTCTCCCACAATGTACGAACGTTCCATGTACCTAAAAGAATGGTTGCTCTGGTTGTCAGAAGAGGCATCGGCCCCTTGGCTTCCGAGGGAACTCGGCTTTGATCACGCGACGTCATAATTCTTGTTCCAACTGCCAGGGCAGAGTTAAAATGGTTCGAATTAGTTTTTTCTGGTTAGCGTTTTTTGGCAAGTTAGTTTTTGATGGAATGGGGTCGCCAACCCCATATTCAACCCTTCTCCTTTACCTGGGCTTGGGACCGGCAGTAGCCCCTAAGGTTCTACAGGCGGAGTTAACGAAAGTACTTTTAAACTATTTTAAACCTGATTTCTATAAAACATTTTTGTCTGTAGTATTGGTAGCCCTATTTTGCCTACTCTATAGTCAACAATGTGAATCGTACAGCACAGCTTATATGTTTGTACTCTTGTGTTCTGTTCATAACCAGTAATTAAATTAAAGGGTTCAATTATATTGGGAATAAAATTATGTACATAGCAATTATGATATCTTTTATTTAAAATAAACCGTATATTGACTATTTTTACTTTAATTTTTATTTCACGTCACACTGGCAATTAGTCTGCTTTAAATTGTGAAAAAATTTCAAATTTTTTTTCTGTGATCTCACTACGTACGCATGTGTTTTGTTATGTCTGATAGTATGAAAAATGTTATCAGACAACAAATCTAGCTTAAATAAACGTGTTCTTTCAAATTTATATGCACAGTTTCTTCGTTAATTATGATCAGAAGAAAAAAAACACGAAGATAAATTCATATTATTTGAGTAGTAATTAATTTAAAAAATTGTTTATTTATTTGATGATAATAGAATTCGATCTATGGAATTACAATTTGATCATTAGTCTAATGGGAACTAAGACCAACGGTCACGTTTTTTCCAGAATATTTCTGTCCACTTAAAGTTGAATGACTTACACCTTATTTCAAAAATTTTCATTAGCTGATAACAATCTGAAATTACAAAGAACATTAGTTAGATACAGCTGTGTAGCATACTTCATTCAGTGAAGCTATAATACATGTTTTACATGGTGTGCACGATCATAAAAGGAAGACAATTCAAAACAAATTATGTAGTATAACATTTAAGAGTGATGCATGTTTTTTTTAAATACGAGTAATCATGATGGGGAAAAGTAATTTTGTTATCGATACAGAGAAAGTAAATTATTCAATGCTCTTCTATGGAGAACGATATTTTTTCGCTTCAGTGAATGTTGTTAGGGTTAAGAAAGGATTCGTCATGCTTTTTTTAACGAAAAAGTATCTTTGAGGTCGGCAAAGTTTGGTATAAATTAGCTCTGAAGAGCTGATCGAGAGAGATATCTGTATACTGTTAATTATTTTAATAACTTTAAGGATACGTTAATTGTGTTTTCTACTAAATAGATTGAATTACATTTCTACTTACTCTCACCGTTTCTCCTTCTCTTGTTGATAGACTGGATTATGAAGACATCAACATCTGGAGGGAAGTACGGTATACAGTGGACAGCCAGAATGCAGCTGAACGATCTGGACTACGCAGATGATCTGGTTCGTCTGTCGCACCAACCAAATCACTCTTGATGGAAATTCCCGTGGGTGACGTTAACACCTTTACATATCTGGGCAGTATCATCGACGAGAAAGGTGGATCCGATGCAAATGTGAGGGCACGGATTGGCAAAGCAAGGGCTGCATTTCTACAATTGAAAGATATCTGGAACTCCAAACAACTTCCAACCAAAATCAAAATCAGGATTTTCAATACAAATGTCAAGACAGTTCTAATTTATGGAGCGGAAACTTGGAGAATTACAAAAGCCATCATCCAGAAGATACAAGTGTTTATGAACAGTTGTCTACGCAAAATACTTCGGATTCGTTGGCCAGAAACCATCAGCAACGACGTATTGTGGGAGAGAACAAACCAGATTCGAGTGGAGGAGGAAATCAGGAAGAAATGGTGGAAGTGGATAGGATACACTGCGAAAAGCACCTGACTGCGTCACGAGACAACACCTCACATGGAACCTTCAAGGTGAAATGCCAAGAAACACATCAATTTCATAGTTTAAAGCTGTTACGACTTAAAGTCACTAGCGAGTAGATGGTTACTAATATAGGGGATTTTCGGAGATCGTAGAAGTTCCACTGCTTAAATCACGAATCGATCGCTGCAAAACTATATCTGAAAATCTAAAAACATTTAACCAAGTGGTTAGTGAAATTAAGATTACCGCTATCTGGTCAATAATATGTTCACTGAGATCACAAAGTGATCTGTGCTGGATAACCTTTAGAAAACTAGAACTATTGAACAGGCGTTTCTTACTGGTTTGGGACCCTTCAGTGGTGCGTATTAACGATCCTAGATGTGGAATTCAAACCGAAGACCTTCAGCCTCGCTCACAAAGTTTCTGCCTACGGACCACTGAGCCTGCATCTGACGGTGCCATTGTCTAGGTTCAAAAAACCCCTTATATTGCTCTACCATCCTCTAATATTTTTAATGAATAACTGCCTTACACATAGCACAGTTGAACTCAACTGACTTCATCTCCTCAATATCACACCGAGAATCATCATTAGTGAACTTATTTCAACTAACACAACCCCATAATGTAAATTATCATACTAGGACGAAATGGTGGTTCATTGCTTACAGATTTTTAATGGTGACCTAATATCGATGAAACTCAACAATCTCCACAACCCCATATTGATGAAGCATAATTATTTTAGTGTACTTTCTGAAATGAACTGAGAAAGATTCTTATTTGACAAAGTATTCTCCACATTGGCTTAGATTAAATAATATTCAAATATAAAATAAACTGCATAAACAATGAAAGTATGTTATTTTCAATTGAAAATTAATTTATTATGTAAATGTATGCACTTAGAGTTTTTTTTATCTGATGAGAATTCAATTTAATATGAAATATTTAAATGCTCTGAAATTTGTATCTAATTTTCTTTTTTACAGTCACCGATTTTGCTGAGATAAGAAATCAATTACCAATGGAAAATTATATTGTACCAGAAGTAAAATTAGAATATTAAATAAGATTTATTTAAATGAAGATGAAATAACAAATATAATTTTATTTTTATGCTTCACCTCATCAAAAATTTTTTTCTTCTCGTATTTATGTTTGTTTGTTTGTTCGTTTTGTATGTTGTTGTTATTGTTGTTGTTTATTTTTGTAAATTAAAAGTGTTATTTACTTACTTGATCCAATGAACTTCATGTTCAATGTTCTATAAAAATAATTTAAATGAATATTTAATTATGGATAGGCGAATTTACTATGTTTAAATATATATAAAAGTTAAAAAAAAGAAAAACTTGCTCACTTATTGGTTTCTTAGATTTGTCCAACTTTTATAAATATATTCATTATCTTATTAAACGATTTCAGCTAATGAGCTGAATCATTTTAGACTGTGAAAGTTTGGTTTTACAGAATGCTAAAAGATTTGGCGTATTTTTTTAGATAGAGGATCAGATTTTTATTAACTCTTTGATTAAAACTGACTTGGCTGAATCAAATGGGTTTTTTTACCTATCTAACATTATTTATACTCTGTTAAGTAGTATGGGTTACTTTGTATTGTGTGTCAGGTAGTCGTATAGCAAGGGTTTATGTACGTTGAATTAAATGGGTATGTACATTTATCTTCTATGTTTAAAGAACATTTGAGTTTGGTTTTTAGATGTATGTCCATTTTCACCCCGAAATACTAAAATTTTATAGTACTTCATTTATCTAAATTAAAATTTAGAATATTGTGTACCCTTTTACAGCTAGAACGAGTTTAAATTGCACATATACTTTTATTATGACTAATTTAATGATTGTTAAATGTTAATGATTTTTAGAATTTCTCAGTCTACTCTTCAGCCGTATTACTAGTGATTAGTATTCTTTATTGATGGAACAAATGTAACACAAAGGCAGTTTCGGTGCCGATATTTTTAAGCTCAGGATGATTGATGATTAACACTTTTGTGACTATTCCCCTCCCTAGTCAGTGATTATAGAAGATTGTTTTATGTCACAATGTCAATTCATCAATGTCATCGCATATAAATAACTTTAATAAAATAAGTAGGCCTAAATGTTTTAAATTTGATAAATAAATATTTATACCAAAAACCATAAAATTGACAAATTCATTAATAACTTTGATTAATCTGTATCACATTTTAAGATGAAAGAAATTTTATTTTCCCTTTTAAAAACCTATTCACAACCAAAATAGTTCAGATTTATCATAATCATATTAAAATAATATAGAAAGATTGAAATGTTAAAATTATAAACAAGAATAAATAAAATTCCTTCAAAAAAAGAGTGTGTAAATATTTGAAAGAAGAAAGTTTGCAGTTCCAGTGAATTTGAAGGTAACATTTAGAAATTCCATGATGATCATTTATTCTAATATGAACAACTGATTATTTTCACTTGACACAGTATGAAATCATCGTAATTAAAAAAAATTAAGTTTGTGTAAACAATGCAGTTTTATGACATGAGATTTAATGTAAATGAAAAACAGTTATAACATTATACTAAAACTAATCAAAACAATGACAATATTTCATAGGATTTTTAACAAACTCAATCATTAAGCCTAAAAGTGAGATTAACTTTTCATCATTAATGTTAATCGATTTCATTCATGTTAGTGATATCTTCTCAGACTGGTCAAATGTTGTCAGTAAATATATTGAAATTAAAAGAATTTATCATAAAATTTGTTATTATCATTTTTGTCTTTTTCTACATTGAACAAAACATTTAATGAATAACTGATTCGACTTGAGTGTTTTAATTGATTAGTAACTGGAAGAACTTCTTCCGGTGGTTCTGATACATCGAGATTAAGTTCTCCTCCATCTGATTCACTGCTAAATTCAGCATATTCAACAGGATTTAATTTACTTGTTTCTACTGAATGTTTCAATTGTGCATTACTTATTGTCTGATCATTACTCGGTATAGTTAATGTTTCCTAAAAAACAAAAAAACAAGTAAAAATAATAAATATCATGTGTGTTATATCAGTTTACTAACTGACTATACAATAAAAATCAATGAGCTATTCTAATTGTGATTCATTAAAATAAATTTCATCTATAAAATGAAAGTACAGTCGACTTGAAATCATGAAATAAAAGGAATGCTTGTTAAATTGTTATTGCTAACATTCATATTTAATTCTACATTGAATATTAAAACAATTACTGTTATCGGCGATTAACACTAAAAGCAACATTTCTAATGAACAATAAGTAAATATATATAAACAGAATGATGATCATTCCAATGAATTTGTTTATGTAAACAAAAACATAACAGATTAGTAGATTGTTATCTTTTCACTTTATTAAGCAATGATTGAGTACATAAATAAGCAACACATTTTAACAAAAGTTACATAGTGAAAAAAACATCATACTAACTTACAGAATGTAATTTCTGAGGTTCTGTTATAACCGGTACTTTTACGTTGGTAGATTCAGCAGGTTTTTCAGTACTCTTTGTTCTACTAGCTGTAAAAAATTTATGTTTGTAAAAAGTTGACAAACAAAATAAATGAAAGATAACATATATGTATATAGATATATAATTGTTTATGAGAATATTTTATTCTCTATCAGTCAACAGAAAAAAATTAGTGTGCATAACAAGAATACATTGTTCTGAGTTGTATTTTTGCTGTCAAATTGATTTTATAGTGATCAACACTGTATTATAAGTGATTGCACATATTATAGTGACAACATTTCTCTCATCTCATACATAGCCTTATCACAGTAACGCAATCTATAGACTCTAATTTCCTGAATCTATATATATCCCATGCTTTTCAATCCAATAGATTCTATAAAAGCCTGTCGATTTTTACATTTTTATAAAATAATAATTAAGATTTATTACACTGCACAATTGAATCGCATCTCAATTTATATATTAAAAAAAAGAAAAATATAAAATTCAATGATTAAACAACAATTACCTGTGCTGAAAAATTCCAAATCTCTTGACACTGTATCAATTTTTTCGCTAACATTAATTAAATCACTAAACATTTCTTCAAATCTAAATTTATTTAATAAAATAAAATTACAATGAAATATGTATAAGTATTTAATTGAAAAACAAACAGAAAATTCATTAATGTGAACAGATACATGTTGATTGGAATCGACCGAATGGCTGATTTTATCTTTGCAAATTTCTTAGTTACATTTATTACTACGGATAAGTTGCATGTTATCACCAGTAACTCTATTATCAAATATGTGACGTGTAATCGAATTTCATTGCTTTTTCAAGTTAAACAGTTTCATGAAATGGTTATAGAAGCTCATTTTACTCCTCTTCATCTACACGCATTCATCTTTTTCATTTCATGCTACCCTTATTAATTCAGGGTTAAAAAACGAAACAACAGTAAAACTGAAAATGTACGTCGTACGAACCTTAAACCTTTGTTCAGTCAACAGTGTCAGTTCACTTCAAAATTATACCCCTTTACAATCTACATTGAATTAAATATTAAGTAATATGGAAGCTCACAAAATTGGAATTTTAGAATCGAGAAGCTTCCTGCAACATACATTTAAGCCAATAAAATTCAACCGGTTTAACTGATGTAGACAAAATGAAGATGAAAACTTACCGATCTTTAAGCTGACGTATTCCAGCCTCAATTGTTTTCTCACGATCAAGTTTCATTTTTTTCAAAATGTTTCTTTTACAATTTGCTTCCAATACTCTAACTCTGCGTAGATCATCATTATTGTCTTCTTCTTCTAGTGCTTCTAAATTATGCTGTAAACTTTCAGATATAACTGTTTCCACTAAATTAATATCAGCTAGTCTTGGTGACGTTTGAGAAAAAGATACAGTAGGCGCTAAACTAGGACGTCGAATATTACGTTCTGTAAATTTAAATAGTTTCGCTCCATCATCTCTTTGATATTCATTTTCATTTTGATCGATTAATTGCAAATTTCCTGTTGTTCTTAAACGATGATCTGCTCAAGATGAATATTTAAATATAAAAATTTTCAAAATTATTGCATAAACTTGTTAAAATGATTAGTCGATTTTTTTTTCAAATTCGTACTTAATGGTTCAGATATTTAAAAACTAATTTTGAACAAACTAAATTATTAAAAAATAGATATATCACAAAAAATAATATCGTATTTAAGAGTATCTCATGTTGTTTAAGTGGTAACCATTTTTCAACTAAAAATCGATTATTTGTAAGTTTAAGTTTGATGAAACGATTAGTGGAACTCTAGAATTTCTCAGTATTTTGTCGTTAGTGAAAGTTCACATTTCTAACCATTCGTATTTCATTCAAATATTACATACGGTAAGATTGAAAACAATACAACACAGTTTCTACACAATGTGTATAATACATAATCCATGTTTCTTTATAGCCTTTAAATTTATAATAGCGTATTCAAAGTCACAAACTTATTTCTGAAAACATCAAAAAATAGATTGGTATTGAGCAAAAGCAGTAATTCAAGTGATTTAAAGGAAATGTAATGAATAAGAGTGTTCAACTATTAGACAAAATCAACACTTCTGCTCATACTAACAAATAATTTTCGTTTATCTTGATGACTTTTTGAAACATTAATTGTTTCATCTAAGTTATTAATCTTACATTTAGGTGTATTTGCACAGTTCCACGGTTATCTCTATATTTTGTAGTGGGATTGATGTGTGAAATGAAAATATATAAGATTATTTTGTGTAAACCTATGCTGTCTATCATTTTATGATATACTAATCTTTCATCACTTTTCTTAATATATATGTATATCTAAACGGGTAGTCGTTTGTCTGGACTGAGCAAGGTGAAGATGCTGCATGTATACACTGTTTATAAACGCTGCTGAATAACTAATATGGCTTGTGACTAACAACTATACTCTAATAGGCATTAAAGTTAATTGTTCCGAGCTCTCCTGAAGAAGTGCTGGAACTATATGAAGCAGAGAAAACACACTATTTTATTCTGCATTCACATTTTCACCATACCTATGAAACTCAACAATAACGAGAAATTTCGTATAATTTTACTGTTAGGCCTGCTAATCTACAATACAACCTTCGGTGCTAGGACTGGTAGAATTGCCCCCCAGGTTACACATAGAAAGCCATAAGAAAACGATGAAAACCTTAAATCAACAGAATCATGCAATTGGATTTTCAAGTAATTTTTCTAAGTTAACTACTTACTTTTCCCATTCTTGTTTTTTATTCTTGACATTTTTGTACAACTTAGAATAAGCTCTATTAAAGCTTGAACTGCTGACAATGGTACAGGTACAATTGGTTTCTTATTAAATTCAACAACCATGAAAAACATATTGTACTTCCATAATTCAATTGAATGAAATTCGATTTCATTAAAAACGTTACTATTTAATGAGAATAATATTTGGAAGAAATAAGAGAATACAGTTAAGAAAAAAACACATAAGTAGTCATCACATCATTGAATAATTTACTAATTCTTTGTTATCGTCTACTTTTTAAAGTCTATGAATATTTGTCGACCAGCCTTATCACTTGGACGCTACGATACTTCACTTAGGATTACAGTTCATTGTACTGATTGATGATTTAAAATACTTGACTAATGAACCTTCTGTATAGATTTTACACTTGTTGGTATTCATTAGTAGTGTTTATCTCGTATAATGGTGTAAATCTTTACTTACTTTTTCATTTAGTTAGTATTGAATAACTAGCTATTGACCTGAAACGTGCCGGTAGAATTAAGTACGTAGACTAAGTAGAAAAATCAATAAATTTCAAAAAGAAAATAACTTCTATTCATTCGATCTGGAAATAAAATGACAATAAACGAAGGCTAAATGACAAACTGAATAAATCAGGGTTTGTTAAATCACAAAATATACAATGTGTAGATGTAGGTTATTTGCTCACATAACCATTGACTATCCAAGTTTGACTAAGAATGATCTCTCAGTAGTACTATTCATCAAATTGAACATCTTCAGCAATTTTTTTGTTTACGTTAACCTCAAATTAAAAGATCACATAATGGTTGGTTTAAAAGTTCAACAGCGCCATCTGACAATATATGGGATAGAACTTGTCATAAGTAAACATGATGATTGGATAATATATGAAAGACCAGGTGGTATACGATCTCATTTCTATTAAATAAGGAACAGCTATCGAGACGTAGTATGGCAGCATCTTGATTCTTCACGTCAAAATAACATTCTAAAATAAGGGTTAGCAGAAAAGGCGAATTACATGTTTGGGACTTATAGACCTGAATCTTTTTTCTGACTTAATTTCTTTAGCTTGTTATCCCCCCTCTTGGAGTATAGATCACTACAACCAAATCTAGCCAAGACTCCTTTACAGCTGTTACCAAGTAGTATTCAAGGTCTTTATATTTGACTGAAACTCCCGGCTCCATACATTTATCAATCTATTTTGTTTCAGTTTTACCTTGAAGATTTCAAGTTCGGACTCATGTTATGGTTCGATGGTTTTCATAAAGCATAATTTATCTAAACCCAGTGTCTTTTCCTTATTTCCTCATCAATTACAATGCCATATTAAGTTATTGACGATAATCTATTACCAGTTGATCTACTGTAACTTGCTGTACATTTTGACGATTGTGATAGTAGTTTTCTAAGTTACAGCTGCCTACAATATAACCATTTAAAAGTTGTTTTTGAAAGTTCTAACTTTGATCATAGACAATAGATTTTGAGTTCCAGACATTCCTTAGTTGTTGGAATTCTGCCCTTGCTTTGTTTATTCGTGCCTCAATATAATAATTAAAACATCTTTGTTTATCAATGATATTGCCTGGATATGCAGAAGCTTCCACCTCTTCCAGTGCTTCTGTATCAAGTGCGACGTGGTTGCAGTTTGTTGTGTTTCGTTTCACAATATTGCATTTTCTGTGTCCGCAGAATCTTTTCTTTGGTTTAGTGACAGTGTCAAAAACTTTGACTGTTATTAACAGTAATGTTGTCCATCAGCAGCTCCTCTACATACTAACATTTACTGTCTCTGATTCCTTTATATGATATCTCTCACTTCTTTTCTTTATGAGCTGAAATCTTCATGTAGTCTTTCAACAAATTATTATCGAATATAATTTTTTAGCATGGGATTTAAGGTTCTTTTTTTTAATTACTTTTTAATTTGTCCCATTATTAAGATGATCAAAATGACCCTTTCTTGAAATGTATAATGTATTAATTCTGTCGGTCAACAGTGAATAGAATTTTTCTATTCTTAACTCATACAGGTTAAACAAGAATCAATCAGGAAATTGCAACTTGTATATGCTTACATTTTACCAGACAAATTTAAGAGTTCAGTTTATATTTGATTGGTTAGTGAGATGAAAATTGAAAAATTAATTACTTCATAATTATTACATCCTCTGTATTTATTGTTTGCATAAGTTGTGGTGTGTATGCATTTTGTTTTATTGCATCACAGATTATTTTCATTTCATTCATATAAAAGGCACCCTTTTAATTAATTAACTATAGGATTACTTCATTTTTTCCCTTCTTTTTGTACACACCATTCACTCATATAATGATGATCATGGTTTTAATGGATGATTGAATAGAAAAAAAACAGAAGCAAACTTACTGATGACCAGTAAAAGGAGTTAAAACAAATTATTTGTATTGATTAAACTAGGAGAATGTGAAAATGACAGAGAATAAACAATATTCACAATAATAGAATCCTTAAATTTTTTTTGAACAATTAATAGAATATTTAATATTTAATCAAATGACCTTAAATCGTAATTCTTTATAACAAATAAACAATACCTGAAAATAGCAATTAACAAATTAATGAGCAACGTCCCAGCAATCATTAAATACAAAGCCAGAAATAGAGGACACAAGAAGTGATACATTGGACAAAATTTTCCATCTGCATTGGTTCCGCAACTATCATTCTTAGCTAATCAAAACCAGAAATTAATAAAATATTCAGTATGGGTCGAAAAAATCAATCAAGTATTTGTATTCTAAAAGTCTAGTAAATTGATATCCATTTAAATGTGGCATTATTAAACGGCAAACTGTTTTCCAAAAAGCACTAATTGTTAAATATATCAAAAGAACCACCAAACTGTCTTATTCACTTGTAAGAAGTTTAAAATGGACAGTCGTTTTATCACATACCATTTCTATAGAGATATATTAAACAAAACTTTAACAAATGAAAGACAGTTTAAAACAATTAGTTCCTTTTATAAATTTTGATAGAACTGTGAAAAGACACAAGTGATAAGAAAAATGTGATGTATTTGCGCTTTACATTTCGAACAATCTGGTCACACATGCTTGTCAAGGCATTTTATATAAAAAATAATAAAAGGTTCAAATAGACGTAAAGTGATAAGTGTGATTTAAGGAGAGAGAAAATTAACGTAATATGAAAAGAATAAGAAAGGGTAAGAAACTGTCACATTACCTTAGGCTTAAAAATTACCAGGGTAAATTCAAGGTTATCACCTTATATCCATTTGAACTTTTATTTTATTGACCTTTTATTATTCTTGATATAAAATGCCTTGACAAGTAAATATGTGTGACCAGATTGTTCGAAATGTAAAGCGCAAATACATCACATTTTTCACGTCAACTGCGTCTTCTCATTGTTCTATCGAAAGACAGTTTATTTAGTTCAATGCCTCTTTACACAACTAAAAGTCTATTTTGTATATTTCCTACATTACCAACATTTTCTTATTGATATTACTTTTACAAAAGTCGAAAACAAAATCCAACTTCCAACTTTGGCAAGCATTATTTCCTTTTTAAACATATCTTCATTGTTGAAAGTAAAACCCTATTTTAGATTCAATATCACTTTTGTGATTTTCAACATTTCCAGAATATATGATACATTTTGTCACTTTTATATGAATATATTTATGTATAACTAATCAGTCAGATTCCCGTAAGTTTAACTACAGATTGTTGAGTGTATTTGTTAATTTTTACGAAGGGCAAAGTAAAAGATCGTTTATTGCTTCGATATTCATATTTGTATCCTCGATCATAGTTTTCTAAATATGCTAATTCCATTGATCAGTGATTGAATATTCTACAATCTATTCGCTTCGAATACAAAAGTAGTCTGTATGAATGAAAGTAACATTTGTCAACTTTTATTATCAGGTCATTTTGAGCCGTTGTAATAACACTCACTGTTGAATAACAACATAATAATTCAATAATAAAACCCTTACTTCAGTATTTATGGAAAAATCACTTTAAGTAATCCAAATATTTTGTACTTGAACATAATTATCGATTTAACAGACCAACAGCTTAGTGGTAAACACATACAACCTTGAAGCAATAGACTGAAAGTTCGAAACCTCTTTAACCTAATTCTATGTGAACAGACAGGTGTTATTAAATAGACCATCATGTTTAAAACTCAATTAAAAATCAGGGAAACAAATCTGCTCTGGATAAAATACAAAATGATTTATGCGCTTACCAAAAGCATAATCTAATGATAATTCACCATATAAATTCCAATATGGATAATATAAAACATCACGTACATCATTCCATGCAAATTCATAACGATGAGGATATAATAAAACATGTAAAGATATACCATAAGCTAAGAAAACAACAATTAATATGAATATAAATGAAATCAATTCTTTGAGCATACTCCGTATCATGACTAGTTTTGGACCCAAATTCGGATGATAAGAATATAAACCATAGATTCGAATATAACATGTAATTACTGATTGCATTCATAAAGAAAAATAAAATGAAAGAATAATTGATCAATAAAATAACTTTTAAATTATAATATCATAATTCATTTAAATAAATGCATCGGTAAATAAATAAATAAATCCAATAATCATGTACTTATAATATTCAATTCGGTTGAAATTAATTGAACTATTACAAGTGTATTATAATCAGTCTATGCATTGTACAATTTATTTTGTGCATCATCAAGTTAAATCTCTAAAAAAATAATACTTTTAAAGATGTGAATATTAGAAATTCATTGTAACAGAAAAGTTAGTAAAAAACGATGCTTAACTTCACCTCATTCAAGTAACTGCTTAATTCACAATTATATAAATTAACCCTTTATTATCAAGAACAATTTTACATTGGTTTTCAAGAGAACGAAGGAGACTGCTCGCGTGTTAGCATTTCGACATGAACGGTTCGGCTCAATCTCATGGTGTCACGACACAGGTACCTGATACCCTGGTGGAACATTCACATCATTTATATACACTAGTACATATATAGTGATTATTTCCGATTCAGGATCGCGTCAATCAATATGCACCGCATGAACAGGCAATTATGACCCATCCGGCTTACATGACTGCCAAAGTCATTATTGTTAACAATCGTGATATGCAATACAGCAACTCAGTGACAATGGTCCTCGGTAATGTTGTAAAACAACCACTAGTATTATTGAAATCGGTAACCTTGCTAACCAGTTTTGTATATGGACTGTTAGCATTGTCAAGCCATCCACTTCAGCTCTATATAGCAGTATAGCATATGGTGTACACAGATATGGCGTAGGATAGCAGAAGATGCAGCCCAGCTTGATGCGAGTAATTGCTTAATTTGATCATTTAATTATTAAATAATCATTTTACTATTACTTATCTATATTTTAGTTATTATTTTCTTTAAATATATTTATTAAATTTTTTAGTGAAACAACCAAATATTTTATAAATTATAATCATACTTGATCTTCACTATATCACATACTAAAACAATATTTTTTAAACATTCGAATTATCAACACAAGTAGTGTTAGTTTCGAAAAAATGATTCCACATAGTTGTATATTTAAAAAGTCGAATAATTAAACTACCACCGTCATCCACTTCCCAAAAAATAATAGTAATCATATCCTTGATTTCAGCATTGCTAATACTGATGGGTATCATACCGATACGAAAGAACTGTCCAATAATTCCTGGTTTTCATTGGTTGTTTGAATGAAATTATTTGTAATGGAGTCAAAATCACTATGTATGATGTTGCTAACTTGTTCTGTTTTCTTTCTGTTTCAGGGCGATCAAACACAAATGCTTTGGAAGCTGAAGAGCAAGCCCTGAGTGCTTTAAACCTACAAGATGACTCATAAGACATTGGTACACTACCCCACCCTATTCCTGTAAAAAAACCCCGCGTATTTGATTTTGAAATAAAAGAGTGCCGTGACAGCAACCTTGTGTTCTCCCTTGGTGTGAGGTGTCGAATTAACCCTGTGTGTTGTGATTTTAGATTATCTCTGCCCTTCATTGACTGCTGATTACGCGTGCTACATATTTCTTGATATTAACGATGAGTGAAAAATCGCTATGAATACTTATAGCAAATAATGAGATCGTACGTAATTATTTTCAATAGTATTTACAACTAAAATTTCTTTCACAAATAAGTCGCTTATCATTTAATTTCGAATTCGATAGTTCGAAAGGTGGATAACGTTTATACAATAAACTTATTTGAAGTTTATGGATTGTGAACTGATCTAAGCTTACAGATAATTGATCACTGAGTAGTGATTAGTAGCACGTTTGTTATATCTCCTTTAATGTTGATTGGACTCTATAGATCAGATTGTGCTAAAACCACATTACATGAAACTGTATGATGTACGATATAATCGGATTCAGGTGAACAATTACCACAAAATTACATGTATATATTGCTGACTCGTGCTAAATAACACGAAATCTAGGTGCAGGCTTTTTATGGACTACCTCCAACCACATAATAACCTCAGCTTAAAAAAAGTGATGTATGCAATCTTTTATCTTCACAAATAACCTAGTGTAAACAATTCTTATCAATTTGATTGTATTAATGATAAGCAGATAACAGTGATATTATTTCTTGTACACAATCATTAGTTGATAACAACAAAGGGTTTTTAAGTGTAAAACAATTACAGTATTTCAATAACCTGTCACAGAATTATGTTTAATGTTTATATTCATTGTCCAGATGCACACAAGTGATCTAATGTACATCCATGTTATTTAAGCATTTGATTGAAATTTCAATAAATCATTACTAAAAACAGGTTAGCTAAAATTCCCAGAATTACTGTTCGTAGAGTTTTATTATTTTCCCAAGCTGTCCTAGATATTTATACGCTTGATAAAAATTCGACAAATAATTCGAGTCAACCAGGTAAAAATGGTTACTTAATTTGTTTCCTTTTGTTTGTATAACAAAAAGTAAACTTAGAATATGGTTAGTGATAAATTTGATGTATAGTGTTTGGTGAATGACACCTATGACGCAATCAAATAAAGCACTGATCATTCGATTAGTGTGGATACAAGTTTTGAAAGGATAGCTAACTATTTTAGCATTGTCACTATCTATATTCGATTTGAGCGATAACTCGTCTATGCTAGTGTTTTACGCTTGACATTTATCAGTATATTCGTCTAACACAATTCCCAGTTTCCTATAACTTTAGTAAATTGATTTCAACTGCTTAAACTGTGTCGTCTGATTAAATTGTATCCTATTTATGTAGCAAACGATATCTATTTCTCACGAAGGTTCATAGAAAAAGACAGCGTCTAGTCCGAAAAGTACGTTTTATGTAGCAATCATCCAACACTGATGGAAATTACTGTTATTCTGTTGCTGTAAAAACTATAGATCAGCAATCTTGAAGAATCAATGAGGGTGTTTAATGTTTCTCTCTGTCAGTTGGTAAAACCAGAAATTGCTCCATTCATTATGGTGACTTTGTATGCTTTTGAACGTCTAGAATGTATAATTACAAGCATTTCCAAAATATATACTAAAACTGAGACAGAAGGCTCTATGAGTATGTCGTGCCTAGATTTGCAGAAAACTGTACTCACTTAACATTCTACTTTTTTCCTGTCCTATAATAAGCTGTCAGGATACTTTTATGCCTTTTATAAGCGTGAAAAACTTAAAAAAATATGATATTCACCAGCACTATACTGATTAACGGTATACAGATAATAAATGAAATGAGAACATATTTAAATAAAACTTACATGTCAATACATAAAATGTTTTGGAATAAATAAATGTCGTCTCCAAACCAATACGTAGAAACATACTCAAAAGGGCTAACAAAATTACGAAAAGTTCAGATCGGCCCCATTCATACTGGTCCCACCAGGCTGCTATTTTTTTATGCCCAACACCAGGAGATAAAAGTATCTTTAATAAAAAAAATTTGACCATTCCTCTTATCATGTTTAAATGAACATAAAATAAATGTATAATATATAAAACTAAAAGCCAACATCACTTCATTTATAAGTTCACGTTATGGCCTTTGCATTATTACATGTGTTGATGTATTATTTATGGTCGGTTATCAATTATATACTAATTTATATATCTGGCATGATTGTAAGTAGTTGAAATATATCGAAATTCACTCAAAATATACTTCAGTTGTTGTTATCATCCTAATTTTCAAACTTTTCATATTGTATTGTCTGACCTAACACATTTATAACCATATTTGGGTATATAGTGTGATAAGTAGTTTGACAACTGTTTATTTTAAAACAGCTGGACACAAGGCTAAATGTACTAATATGTTTTGTTCTGTTCCCACGTACCAGGTCTTGGATCCGCACTACTACGAAGTTTTTCACTAGGACGAAACTGTCATCCTTTGCTTCCAGATTTTCATTAATGGCTTAGCTAAAATCAGTTTGTAATTTCAACTATGAGAATATATACTTTTCGACATAAGATACAATAATAAAAAGTAGTAATATTACTTTATCAATGCAATTATCACTGTCAAACAAATTATATTTCGCTGACCTTGAACTTATAGTTCTCAACTTATATGTGTAGCAAATTCATATCTAGTCATGTAATCATTCTTTAAAATTGCATGCATGTTGTAAAGTTGGTTGTAATGTGATATTTTATTTTACTAACACGGTTAGATAACTGATGGGGGTACCATTTTATTTGTATACTTCCTTCAAGTCGAAATCTGAATAATTATAAATCGGATTAGAGACTTTTTATATAAAGTCTGCAGACAAATGATCCTCCAAAGCCTTTATATATATGAGTATTGATATGGGACTTAGTTTGATTTAAAAAGAAAAAAATAGATAGATTTAATAAAATTTCAAACAATATAATCAACAACAACAGACTGTTTGTTTTTTTTAAATATGCGCGCATACAAAAACATGTGGTTTATTAGTTGTTCAGTAATTTTTAACTTGAAATCATATCAAATAAATCACACTGAAGGCTAGCCACCATCATTATCAGGACGACCTATTGCACATTTTGTGATAATCTTTATAGAAAAAATTTGACAGCAGAAGTTTTTATACTAAATTAAAATAATGATAATTAATGAGTAAATTATTATCTTCAGTCTATTACATTTACCTGTCTAATTATATCGATTATCATGGCTAAAAAATAGGCCATTATAAAACCTTCATGTATAGTGATTTTATTGGGCATTGTACTGAATAATAAAGTGTACGAAAAGAATAGCAGAAATATTACATAAACCATCTATAATTAGAAAACAAGAATATAAAATGAAACATTAATTAGGGAGAATAACTAAGATTTTTACAAATCTTTTTTACAAATATAATCTTAAAAGTTATAATGTTTGCCATAAATAGTTAAAAACTGAAGAAATATTACTAATCATGAATAGTAGAATAGTTATTGCATTCTAGTATGGGATCCTTTCATGTTGCCTACTGAGTTGAAATAGATTGCTCCATTATTTTGAATCAACATCATCCCGTGAACAGAAACCAACATTCACTAATCTCATAATCGACAAAACCTAATCATTCGGCAATTCGCTACCTTTCTAGTCGTTATAAAATAGTCAACATGATTTATGATGTCTTTTTTTTATTTGATAATTTCTAAATATTGAAGTACTTTCATAAACTAATGATTTAGATTTCATTTATGATAACCAATTCTCTCCTTAGATGAATGTTATTGAGCAACAAAACCTTCATGGAGATCTATTTGTTAGGGTTATTTTTTGCCCGCCACATCGATAACACATAAATTAATGTAGTTTCAAGGTTAAGATATTATTAATGAACTTGTGGCAACAACTTGACTTCCTCTGAAAGTGACTAATTTCCCTTTTTACGTTGGTGTGACTTTATTTATATACATGACTTTATTTCACGAAGCCGTCTTCAGACATTCGATTTGATGCTTAAATGCTATAGATCAATAAAAATGAACTATACTTACAGTGTAAAGACAAAATTTGGACTTCGGTGCAGTATAAAACATTTTAAATTTTTCTGTAAGATTTCTTTGTTTGGAATGTTTATCAACAATCCTTTCTCCATCTACCCTGTCTCCTGAATGTCTAGAAGATCTGCTTGTTCTTTTATGATGGTGATTTGCAGTGATATGTTGACGTTTATCTTCCCATGATAAAATATTATCGAAGTACAGTAAAAATGGTAAAATCAAGATGATAGACGTGATAAGCATATTTGCACGCATACCATGGCACCATGCAAAATCCAGAGAATTTTGACAGGCTTGAGAACTAATAAATTTACGTCGAACAGATTGAGCAGCAAGCTGAAGACAGTTGAAACCACCCCATAATGATGATTCCCCTTCAACCAAATATAAGGTGAGTTCCTGGCATTTAAATAGCAAAATTGTGTTCATCGTTATTTGGCATGAAATTTAACTACTTACTGATATTAAGTAGCTAAAGAAGATTAATCTAAAAAATAATTCTACTTCAAGTGACTGAGCAGCTGGGTAGAGTATTTGTGGTGGGTTGTTAAACAAAAGGTTTTACAGAAAATGTTTTTGTGACATTATTAAACTCAATATAACAGTAATAGTAGCGCGGATATATATATTTTCACTAATAAAAGAAACTAACCGGATCAATTCCATTGCACTCTTCCAATACACGAATGGCTAAAGTTTCAAATTCTTCCACATATGCTTCATACTTCATTTTACCTTGTGTATCAAATGTCGGTAATAATTTACTCATATCCGAATAAAGACAACAAGCTATTAAGGCAAGTGTTAGTGCATCTTCACTGCGTTCCCAAAAATATAAAGCCATTTTATGTCGTTGATAAAGTATAGCCCACAAAAATAATTCCTTAAGTAAAAGAAAAAACGTTGTAACATAGTTAATGAAATAAGCACCTACTTCCAGAATTCAGATCTAGGACACAAATTAATCCATAATCTTTGTTTAATCTAGATGAGTGGTTTCTTATGTGAATAGTTTTTTGATTAATTGCACGGTGTTCTTTGCTGTGAATATTTTTTAATTACTTTCAGCAGTTTCAAATAGTCTGATGTTTTCTGCTTTCCAAAGCTAGCGATATGTCCAAGGTACTGGATATAAGGTGAGGCCTATCTGGCATTTGTATTATTGTCATGGCATAAACTATTTAACTGATACGTATAGCCTGCCTTTAAACAACCTTCTTGATATGATGGATCCTATTCATAAGGCGATATATAAGTAGTATTCAGAGCAGTTTCACCCAGAAGATGTTTCCAAATACAGAAGTACCTGGAGATCAAAATGCAAGATGTGATAAGAGTATTTTTAAGACCAGAAGATATATATTTTTTTCCATCTTGTCATGCATTTTTTGTAGGTTACACTGGTGTTACACTTTGAAACGATCATTCATGCAGAAAATATTAATCCCACCATGTTCACTTCATATCAACTATTTTTCTGACTGCAGCTTCTAATTTTTTACTTGCGAGTATTCTCATGATTTTGAATGAATAAGAATTATTTTAGGTGGGTTTTTAGTTTACCTATTCACTCCATCTCACCCATTTGAATAAAATAAGATCGATTTTCTTTCCACCTGATTCTACAAAGATATCTTTCATGTATTGTCCTTCTTAGGCTACAGCTTTCATAAAAGATCCCGAATTTATGAAAATCGATACAATATACTGTTTCACTTTGATAAATAACTAATATTTGGTATTGCTTAATAACATACCAATTTCGCATGATGGATAGGACGGAGATGATATAATGATTTTGAATTGTGAACAAGCTTTTACATCCCGAATGTACTTATGTTCCATGTGTATTGTAGACATGCCAAAAGATTACCTTTAGATAAAAAGTCATTTGGATGTTTCACCTGTTACAAATCAAGTTCATTTAGAAAATTTTTCAATACCACTGAGTTCTAGACACTTTTTTGTCGTTGTTTGTAGCTTCTCAGAGTCGCAATCCTACAACTTTACGAGAGATCGAAAACAATACATTCAGGTCTTGTGATGATGATGACATGTTTAGATCGTTACGTCAGTGAATATTAGTCCACATTTCAAACCTTACTCACTGTTTGAAAACAGGCTACAATCAATGAATCAATTTTATAACTAATGGCCGTCCATAAGGAGTAATTGGTTTACACAAACTCCCTGACACATCTTCATACTGTATTTTGTAACATCTATGTTAACTTTTTTAAAATAAGCTGTATAAAACCTGAAAGTTTGAATTTTTTTATGATACAACCCCATAAATGAAACCTCACTTTTGGCTTTATAGATCTAAAATTTATTTTTAATAATCAAACACTTCGATACTGTTGACTATCAAAAGGCTTTAAAATGACTAGCACTATTAAAAAAGATAGATTTTATTTTACATAAAACATTATTTGTTAACAATTCATTCATTTGACTGGTAATACTAAAACTACTACTTCTACTACCATCAATATTAATGACAGTAATAATACCAGATGAAACAAAACCAATCAACGGAACAAATTAAATCATCTTTGACATTTTATTTATCACATAATATAAACAATATTTGGTGAATGAACAAGAGGTGATCAGTGAATTAACTTGATTAGTCTAATTACAAAACAATCTTATGTAGGTATGAGAACGGCGAAAAAAATTAAAGTTATCCAATGAAGAGATTGGGATAATTAAAAGAGCATATTATGCTTTTCTTTTTCTTAATTAGTGGTGTTCTGCAAATAAACATTCATTACATCATATTTCATATCATCAACATTATTAGATTTATTTAAATAACTTTTATCAGAACACTTCTGTATGCATTTAGCTTTGGATCACTTAATGAATAAGCTATGTAATTCCTCAAATGTATCATTTTATAGTAAGACATTAAAGGTATATTATTGTATGAGTTTTGAATTATGACTGAATTGAATAGAATACAGAAGTGTTTTTTGAGAATATTTTGTTCTCTGAACTAGATAGTTTGAACCATAATAAGGAATATTATTCAAAAATGTTTAATCAAGACAAAAACTGTTTGTTTCTTTAATCGCTTTTAACTCACCTGAAATGGCAAAACAAATGTCAGCTTACTTACTCGACTCCAATCAGCCCTTTGACTATGTAATAACTGAATAAAAGAATAAATAATACAGTGTTATCTTGCTTAATAGGCTACTAAAATAAACTGAAATACATTTTAACAATAAATGTTTGTAGAAATATGTCGATTTTGAAAAAAAGATGCTTTTCAATATTTTAAAAAGTAGAAACATTCTCATTATCAACAGAGATGGGTGGTGGCAAGCAAAATGCGCGCGTCTCTTCATTTGCAGCTAATCAACTAAATGTACGAAGGAAGATCCAAGTATCTAATTTATGAAAGAAATTTTCATTTACCATATTTTCACGTATAATATATGAAAACCGCTGAAATTATGAAATTAAATATATATTGTCGTCTATTTTGTTTATTATTATTTTTTCGTACTAGTTTAACTTACCATTAAGTGTAGACTATTCAATCAGTTATGCAAATGAATCTATGATAAGTTATCACTGCATAATGTTAGTAATGCTTTATCTACCACTAGTTTTTAGTAACTGATAAACTTCCCTCTTTGTCTACACCGTCGTAACAATTTTAAATTGAGAATATGTGTTAAATCTTGATAAAGTATTCAGTTAGCTTACAGTCGTTTTCTGATTATGAACTATTAAGATTATTCCAGTACCAACAGCTAATTAATGAAGACGTTATAGTTGGGTCAATAAACATTTCAACGCTTCAACAGTTGTCCCCTAACAATAGAACCAAGGAAGAAAAAGAAGAAGAAGAAAGTGCTGAAAAAATTTAATGTTTAACAAGTGGTGAATTGAAAGAGAATAACTATGTAAGTAAAGCAATCAAACTGGACTTTGGGATACAGAAAATTAGTGAATCGGACGTGGTAACAACCAATCAGAAAACAGCAAAGGTGAAACTTAAATAAGAAAAGATTTACTCAGAGTAATTGCAGCAGAAAGGAAATTAAAATTTACTGAGAACAGTTAGATAACTTGGCGTCCTCGTAGCAAAGTTTTGTTAACTGTAAATAAAACTGAAGATGGAACTTCAATACAACTTGGAAATCATCAGCTGTACTGGAATAAATATCAGTCCTGATTATTCCTTTCATTCAGAAACACAGATATCGTCAGTTCAAATATCGAAATATATTCATTGATATTTTGATCTGAACACTACCCACTGTTTACTAACTGCACATCTATTTGACCAACATCTTTGAATACTTTACCCAGATTAAAATATTTAAGTATCAGAACCTACACAAAATAGACTTATGTGTGAATGATCAGTTGGTGAAGTAAATCGAGTAGATAAATTATGTACGATCAAGTTTAACAACTTTGATATCCACGTTATAACATAAGTTTTGCTCAACACAGACCAATACATTATCAGTTACAGAAAGTAATGTGAAGTCCTAAACATCAATGGCTACATTCGAACAACCAACACAAATGAGTGAAACTTCGCTCCATTACGCAAGCCAGTGGTAGTAAGGACTCAGTAGCTAAGTGGATTATCAAATGGCGTTTTAAATGTTGGGTACAGGGTTCAAGTCCCAGAGTGAACACCAACTCTGGAATACAGGTACATCCAGATGCCAAATCCCAAGTAGAATGAAACATGCATCCTGGACTCCACTGCTAGCCACCACTCATCACTGCTTATAATGCTCAAAACTAAATGGCAATATTGAAGTAATCTACACCGGTTGCATATATTCCAATTGCATCCTTAAATAATAATGAGAATGTTGAAACAACCTATAAAAATGGATTATTATCATAGTTTATTGATCACTGATCACTATTTTTATGATCAAAAATATTAAATAACACTTTACTCAAATATTATGTTTTTCACTTGTACATACCTCAGTGTCTAAATCATATATTCTATTGGTATATCTTCCAAGCATACGACGTAACAATTTACATATAGTAGACAAATATATTCTATATGGAGATGTAGATGATTTGTCTGGTTCAGCAGTCATTTGACTGTTCAATGGAACCGGTAAATGAAGTTTAGTAGTGGATACTGTTATATGTTCACCAGTCGGTAATTTATAATTTTTTAAACATCGTATTAAATCATTTGGTTGTGTTGATTCATTGTATAAACGATGCAAACGTTCAAATGTCAAAAATCGACGCATTACAACACCATTTTGTAGTAAGATTCTTACAAAATCAGTTTTGTTTCTTAACAGTGCTTTCATCATAATTGGTTCTAAAATTTCTGATAAAATATTATCAGGTATTTGAAAAATTAGTTTAAAACAAAATCACTGTAAAGTTATAAACTTATAGAGTATAGTGAATTATTATCAGGATAAAAAACATGACACATAATGACACTAAACAAACTTACACATTTAAAAACACACGGAGAAAGCTTAACTTCAATAAAGACGATGACTGAAATTTCGAGTGATTCTTCATTGCAAACGGAGTAATAAGCACTCATAATTGATCAAACTTAACAAGTTAATGGTTAAATTGCATTTTTTAACTTTATTCAAAATTTGTCATTTTTTAATAAAGTCACATTTAAACACAGAAACTTAAACAACACCATAGTGAAAACAGTGATTTCTATTTGTCAAAATAACAATAAAAACATCATTTTAGTGCAACTGAATTAAATAGTGATGTTCAAGTAGACAAAAGTGATACATTATTCCAAAGTGCTAACTAAAGATTTATAACTCATTAGCATTTCCACATAGCAATAACATGAAAACATTGGTAGATAATAATCAGTCTAAAACACATTACAATTAATAACTGATAACATTGTAGTAAAGTAAAGGTAATAGTATTTATAAAAAATAGTGTGCGCATTTCAGCAGTGTTAATTTCCAGCCGTCTATAGAAAGAAAGTCAATAAATTTTAGGATAATCTAACAAGATTTCAAAATATATTTGGCATTTATCAATTTCAACGCAAGTATTTATTGACATTCACTGGTAATCGTATCAAAATAACTGTTTTTATCTTGCTCATTTTAAGAAAATAGTTCAAGATGGTTCAATCAAAAACATAATTTATGCCACGAAATTTCAATTTCCTTTCTTCATCTGTTGAATATATATATGCCATTAAAGATTTCTCGTAGGCTTTCTTGTAGGAGTGTCTTCCACAAAGTATGATGAGGCCTCCATAACCTCACAAGAAGTCATAGAAACTCAATCAAATTACAACACGACAGAATTCTTAGAATGTCGATGAGGTATACAATGACTGTCTGTGGATCGAACCATTATAATGATGCTTTTACCCTAGATAAAAATTATAAATACACGTGCTGTCTCCTAATTATAGAAACATTTTGGTACGTGAAGTTCGAGACTTACTAGTGAATTCTGATGAAAGATGGCAGCTTTGCAATCAACCACAGCTAATTATTCTGTAGGGCTATTAAATTTACAGTGAATGCAACTGCAGTGAAATATCAGTTAGATGACTGAATGCTGAAAGTTTTTTATCTACTGCACACAACAACGTAATCATTCAAGACCATTCTTTTTATTCATAGTTTTCTAATCATTTCTCAGATAATTTTAATGAACAGAAATCTTTAAACCAAGTAATGAAGCAAGTCATTGATTGATTTCTGAAGGTAGTATAGATCCAATAAATCGTTATGAATATTACCACCACTGAATATTTCATTAATGTGACAAAGACTACTACCAGGTGTGAATATACTTGAATTTTCAACTACTTGCCTGAAAATCTATTACAATTTAATATTTAGTTAGCGAATACATTTTTACTGTTACTTTTTGAAAAATGCAACTACTGAAAACAATTATCACTTTCGACGAAAATTAATCAGATAAACATGGACTGATTAAAAAAGAACAAACTAATTCCCAACAAAAATTAATTGTGATTACCTGTGAAGGAGCCAGTGCTTATCAATTTACATCATGGTTTGATGATGTCTTAATTGACTTATCCTGTATAAAACTCAGTAGTTAATATTAAATCATTTGAAACACTGTATATTATTAATTTTTGGGTTTTTTGTGAATACAATAAATAGTAATAATAACAATGATAATAATTCTTTTACTAACCTGGGTTAACTTGTTTACCTTGACGAAATATTTTCGCTTCAGCAATATCACTTCTATCCCATGTTAAGGCTAATTCTAATTGTTTATCTAATTCCGAAGATGTTTTAATTAATGCAAATAGAATGGCTAAATCTAAATCATCAGATTTATTCATATCAAAAGTTGTAATCAATGTTGTATCTTGTACAATAAATTGAATCATTTTTATGGCAGCCTCAACTTTATCTTTACCAGAAACTACTTTCAACTTTTGACTTAATATTGAAGATTCTCTCTCAGTAAATGATGTAAATTGACTTGTTAAATTGTTAAATTGAATTTCATAGATCGATGAAAAGTAAACAAAAGAATAGAAAAGAAACAACTGATTCTATGATAGTATGATTGCAAATATTAATCTATTTATATAGCGATATATATGACATATTTAGCCACTTATGCATTAATCAAGTTTTGATCTCAGAGTATTTCATTAATTGATATCTTTCTTAATTAGGAAAATTCTTCTGTGAACACTTGTTGATTTGAAATGACCTGAATGAAAAACTTATAGTTTCGTGGTTTCAAAATTTGAAACTTTTCAAATCTAAATCTTGTTCACAACCAATCAGTTACACGGTCAAGTCAACGTCATAATAACTCTAATTATTCTACTTCCAAGGTACATTCTCTTGAATAAAGCCTTATGTTATAGACTAACCTGAACATACATTCCCTGTAAAAGTAATTAGTTATAGACTAGAGTGAAAACTCTAATATTTCCTAAGACGTTAGTGAATCCGATTGACGAATATAAAATAAACGACAAAATAATCATAAGTAGAATTTAAGTTCATTATTTATTTAAGTGATTTCATCTATGCATCCATAGTAGATGTTTTTTTTTGCCAACCACAAAAAAGAGTGATTTTTATCCCATAACTTTAGCTACTGTATGACGATTTCTTTCATTTATCAATCATAGCAAAAAAGAAATATGAGTTGGATAGGATTTCAAAAAAACTTACGCATGTTTAAGTCGAAAATTAAATGCCATATTTAGTATGTCAGCTGCTCTTCCAGTACCAGAACATATTACAACTGGTACACGTTCTTTAATACTATTTCTTGCATCAATAAACACATCATGACCACCTTCTACAATTACAAGCACCACCGGAATGCCGAAGCCACCAGCTAAAAATTAAAAGCAATACAGATAATGAACAATTACAGCTGGTATTTTTATATTATTCAACAGTTATATTTGTTTTAAATACACTGATACTTTTTTTCAAATTTTCGAAGTTTTTCAAATATTTTAAATTTGAGAATAATAATTCATACATTACGTTTTAAGAAAGAATATAGTTTTTCTAGTAGCCGAGGATTTCAGCTTATAGAACGATGTCAGCCTATTTAATGTCAAAGTTGATGCCAGTAATTACACCTTATACGTAACAGAATAAAAAAATAACATATCTGATAACTTACATGCCGGTCCAGTTTGAATTGATTAGAAACAATATTCATTCTACTCATTATTCACTATTATTATCATCAAAAATTATATTTTGACAATTTAGTTTTTCATTGTCTTGTGTACTACTTTTATGAATGTAAAACTATGGAGTTGTCTGTCACAGCTTAAATTATACGATCTCTTCCATCAATAATTATCACAAAATCTTCGGCTTGTTTTAAACTTATTTGTTTATAAAATGGTAAACAAATCTGTATTCCAGTTTACATTAAGAAGAACATTTGAGAAGCGAATGAAATTCCAAGATTATTTAGTAATTGTATGCCAGTACTTTGGAAACTTCAACAAATGAAATTTACATAGTATTTGCCAATCATAAGAAACAGGATTTGAAAAAATGTTACGAACAATTAGGCAGTTAATCAATTTATTTTATTTATTATATTCAAAACTAATCACCTGGGTGTATATTTAAGTGCTATCATCAAACCTTGTATGCGTAACTGTAGCTATTAGAATGTCGTGCATTAGAATGGTCTGTATGATGAATAAAATCGAGCAAACTACAAAAGTACCAATATTTCTTTATATTGGTTCCATAGTATATTTTCATTTCCATAAAAGTAAGCATTTTATTATTTCCAATATTAATATTCCACAAAACTACAATAAGGTGCCATATTATAATCTGCTAATCTATTGGAACTATTTTAATTAAAGCCATTGCGTTAACTCTGTTTCACCTTGTTTTTTCCAAATGCTTAATATTATCTGTTACTTAGAGGTTTATTTACCAACCAACATTTAACATCAAAAAGCTTTCATTAATGATTTCTTTTAGAATAATATCACTGATATTTAAAACATTGACAAAAAGTAAAGGAAAATAAAACAAAATCATGTAAATGTTTATTTACCTCCTTCCGGAAGAGCGATTTGTTTTTCCAACTTTGCACGAAATCGGGCTGATTCACAACCACCATATCTTAAACGTTTACCTTCATCCACAAAAATATAATGAGTATGATTTTGGTTTAGGGAAACAGGTTGTCCTGTCTCAATAACAGTAGACACTGTATAAGGTATTGGATGAATATGATCCTAAAATGAATCATAGCAAAAGAAATACCTTTCATTTTAAGGCGGTAGTATGCAAAAAGAGAATAGGGAAATTTGCGACACTTCTGCATGACTTATTTATTTCGACATTTTTACTGTACTTATTGTCAGTTTTTGAGGCTACTAACCATTCTAAGCTGTAAATTAGAGTACTTTCACATTATATCTGTAGTCGATAAAAGATTAAGGAACCACTAGCTTAGGACAATAAAACACAAACTATTCATTTTACTGCCCTCCCTTTTACTGTAATCACTCGCTTAATTGTTATCTGATTTATTTTTTTTCTCACTTATTTTTCTTGTTCAACAGGAATCCATAAAACTACCGACTATAATATATAATAATTTAGATGTATATGCGAATTTAGTTAGGCCGCTTTGCAAGAAAAATAAACAACGTTATACTGATTGGTCAGTAGTAACAGGATTACTTGACCATTATAACTGTAAAGAACATCACCAAAAACCTGGATAATGACAGTTATGGATTCAGCAAGCTGAGTTTATTCTTAATTATTAAAAATTAATAAACGTTCAGAAAACTGAGTTATTAGTAAAATCATCATTTGATAAAAATAATTGTATCCCATTTTAAAATATCTAAGTCAATGTAGTAAATCATAAATTATATCATACTTAATTAGTTTAGGAAACCAAGGTTGACTGTCAAACTTTTTGAAGTGTTTTGTGGTAAACATCATAATTCGTAAGGGTTTTCGGAATATACGAGTGAAAGTTGAATAATACCCGTTTTATAATGATAAGCGTTTAACATACTTAGTAAATTAGTATTATATTTTTGAACAGATAATCTGTAAACCAACAGTTCACTAGCTGAAATTAATTTATGAATTTGAAAGTAGCACTACACATGCACATGAAACGTATTAATCACTTGTAAAGTTATAAAACTTTTGGTTGATACCCACTTCATAATTATTAGCGACCAGAGTATTACGATTCAGCACATAACCCCATGGAGCAATACCAATACATCTTAATTGTTGAGATAACATTCTTTTGTCTGTACTATATGATTGTTCTTGCAGTGCATCGCCTACTACTCGTATAATTCCTAAATTTAAACCTGATGTGACAATCCAAGCTTGAGTTGTTTGTGCTGCTTGAACTAGACCCTTCGGTAGAAATAAAACAAGAAAGAAAGACAATATTTAGAAAAACATCCATTACAAGGGCTGTACTACACTTTCATTGAGAAACATTTGATCGAAAATATTCGTTTAAAGTTCTGAACTTTTCCATTTAGCATTCTTCTATTCAGTTTCACTGTTTGCTATTATGCTGATTACAAATACTTTCCACCTTTTTTAATAAATAGAAAATGTATTTATCCCGTTCACAGGAAAAAGGATCTATTGTATAGAGTTGAATAAAGTTAACCTTCTTCTATAAAACTTACTTTTCTTTTGTTTTACTTCAGATTTATTTGCTTAAATTGAGTTACAAGCAAGAAAACTTCTCAATACACTAAGAAAAACCTTTAATTATTTTGTAAAATATCTTGGTTGTTCAGTAGACAGTAAAGAAACTATTTTGACTGAAAATATTATGCTTGAAATATAATCACATATACGGTAACCAAGACTTGTAACTCACATCAGCATTTTTTAGCGTTAAACTCGAATATTTTAAACAGTTTTATGCAGTATTCATTCGTAATCAAGTATCTGAAATAGTTGCATCTGTTGAAGTATACTTTGTTTAATTTTCAGGTTTTTCGTAAAATTTGTACAACAAAAACTTCAAGATTATTGCCTTTATTTTGATTTTCTGTAATTTCATTTACTCATATCACGATTAGATGTTTACAAATCTAATACATCATAGTAATCAAATGAACTTCTTTTATTGTAGCGAAAGTGATAAGCGTATACGATAGATATAGGTTGACATCATAATTATTAAGTCCCAAATTACATTCCATAGGTAATTACCTATGTTCTTTAACTTTATGTATTTTTTAAAGATTGATCTTCCATTGTATAAGCCGCTTTTTACTTCCCTTTTATTATGTCTTTGATTTCTGTACCATTTGAATAGAACATGCTTTTTGCTGGGCCAACTTACACAGATTTACTCACATGCGGCAAACATTCAACTCTGCTTAATGGTTTATTTTGTCAAATAATTCTAGTTTTATTCTGATTCACATATCTTTTAAATTAAACTATGGATTTTTCAGAAAAATTCAATATTGTGAGATCCACAAACATTTATGCTATTAATTCATTTAAATATGACAAAAAATTAATGTGGACTGAATGTTTTTATAACTTCATTTGGCAATATCTGAATAGCTAAACAGTCCTCTTTATCCATCTTGTCTCATTTTATTTAAGGTAGTCTAGTATATGCATAAAATATGCACAGTAATAATTTTTTTAAAAGCATAAAATAACTACCCAAACCGGCATTTTACCATAAACTTTCGTTTGCTGGTCACTGTGGCTTAACAGGGAAGTTTTCGTTGTCCTTTCAGACAACACTATCAGTGAGTACTTCAGACAGACATACTCCACAGTTTACTTCTATTACTATTTAAAGATATGATTGATCAGTAATAAATCTCAATTAAATAACACAATGTCGAAAACTAATCAACTCAATAAATCATTAACATGAAATTTAATTAATAAACAAGTAAATAAATAAGCGCATTTTCTAACAGAGTAAAAAACTTCTTTTTTATGTCCTTCAAGGACAAAATTCTTTGCTCCACCAATAACAGATATACATAAACTAGGTTTTTCTGGTTCCATCATTTTCCAGTAGTTCTTCATTAATATCATTACATCTTCTAGTTTATCTTCATCTGAAATACGTACAAACTGGAAAGACAATAAAAAATTTTATAAACAAATACAAAAACTGATGAACCGTTTTCATAATTTTAGTCAGTATTAATTATTTGTTTATTAACTATTCTAATATTTCATGATCTTGTAGTTAATGGTTTTCCAACTACCGACATAGTTGATTGAAAGCTTCTAGATAAGATTTTAAAAACTGATTTAAAAGTTAAACATAGAAAATAAATTACAGACTGATCATTCAGCTAAGAAAATGAAAAAAATATCTCAGAAAAGAAAATGTCCATTTGTCTTCAATGAATATGACTAGATTTTATTTTTTTAAAAATTCAACATCAGAGGATTGTTGATATTTGTATAAAATATGTTTCAAACTGTTATTGAAAAAATACATGTTACTATCAAGTAGGTGACCGATAGATGTGCACTCAACTGTTTGCGTTTTTATAAAACATTTTCAAATAGAACAATCTTTTTTCTACTTATGATCCCATTAAAGTTACCAATAACAATATTTCTGAGCAACCTGGAAGCACTTTCTGATGCACGAATCCTTAACCATAGATCATTATCCCGGCACCGAAGGTCCTGGGTTCGATTCCATTGAGTAGAGGTCATGGGTGTGCAGTGCTGAGAAGTCCTGTACTAGGACGAAACAGCTTTTCAGTGCTTCCAGGTTTCTTATGCTGATCTAGCTTGGGTCATTTCGTTCTTTTCAACTACGAAAATAATACTGTTGTCACAACAAACAGATAAAAATTACAAAAGTATTAAGAGGACTAAATCAACTGTTTTGATCAAGTTTGAAATTCTTTAGTAATGTAAACTCATGATATCTGAGATTTGTATTATGCAATAATTATCTGGAAAACTGAGCAGGGGAATATTAATTCGCATCTTGAATCCTAATTAATATATATTTTAGTATGCAGCTTATTCGTTTTTTCAACAGCGTTACAGTTTTTATTAATTTGACGGACTCAGAGAATCATCGTCCAAACAATGTATGAATAACGCAAAAAGTATTTTCTAGTGTTAGATTTCTTTAAAGTGCAACTATCAAGCTTCTATCATTTTTCCTTTTTTTTGTCTCTTTTTCATTAAAAATGTTTTCATTTCAAAGAATAGAGAAATGCAAGAAATAACACATGTAAAAAGGAAAATTTAAAGAACAACCCTAAACATAACCTTACAACAACTGTTACATTCGGAGATCTGATAGCTAATTAAAGCTCGAATTTTTTGAAAATACTAGTTTTCGGCTTATTTCATTTTCGTTAACAGTCAATGCGTAATAGTTATCATGAATAATTTTAAAGCGGATAAATAGGTGTAAAATAAAATTAGTAAGTTCATTCATACTTTAAGCATCATAACCACTGAATTTTTAATTTGTAGTATTAATGCGGGTATCTGGTTGAATACATAGCCTACTGCTCAATTTTTAATTGAAGTATAATCGATGATTTTTTTAAAAAACTCAAGAAACAGTTTCATCAGATGTTACCAAGTATAAGTATTGCCATTGATAATACTCAATTTATATGATCGATTAATTATGTCACTTCTAGTAAACAAAAGGGTTAATAATCAAGTATAACACTAAAAATGGGGTTATTAAGGTTTATTGTCATTCTTTTGTAATATTTTCTGAAAATCCCTTCTATTGGGGAATTTAACAAAATTCATTCAAAGGATCTTGAGTGAGGAAAATGAGAAAATCAAGACCATATTAGTATCAAAAGCTTATAATGCTTACATACAACAAAAAATTTCTATCCCAGCTTTCTATATACGTTAAAACATTACAATTTATGATTTTACAAATATATACTGCAATTCAATCCAGCGCTTCATTTTATCCTAAATTCATCATTCTTATAAGTACAAGTAAAATCTATTAACTCTACGCGCGTCATCTTAAATGTTAAGATTTTATGCTGGATATTACCAAGGATTTTAATTAATTGCCTCTGATACGATAATGTTGTTTGTTAGTAAGACCTGTTTATCAACTATGAGAGCCATTTTTAAAACCTCATGCACAAATGAAAATAGATCATGTTTCTTAGTTAGACAAACAGTAGCAAATCATGATCTTAACAACGAAATATAAATAAATCCTCAATGTTCTAAGCCTTTGTTACAGCACACTTACATTTAAAACATTTCTGACCATAAGTGAATTCCATCTCAATAGTATGAAATGCTGGTTAGTTGGCTCGTTCCCGTCGTCTTACTTGCTTACGCCTGTTACCCCTAATGGAGCATAGGCTGCCGACTAACATTCCTCATGTGACTCTGTCCTGAGCCTTTCTTTCTAGTTCTATCCCAATAGTATTCATTCATCTTATGTCTGTCTCTGATTTCCGGCCGAATGTGTTCCTTGTTCTTCCTATTTTCTTTTTGCCTTAAGAATTCCAATTTGAGGCTTGTATTTCGACACAGTTGGATGGTTCCTACGATTCACGACACAACCCCCTTTAGTACATTTTGATAGTTTCTTCCTCAGCTGGAATACGGTATGTTCTTTCCCACAGTAGATTGCTGCTGATGATGTCTGGCCAGCGGATCAGCAGTACTTTACGTGAAAAACCACTATTCAGTACCTGTATCATGTGGATGATAGCTTTCATAATTCTCCGAATTTCTGCTCCGTGCAACAGAACTGCCTTGACGTTAGTACTGAAAAAAATGACTCCAATGTTGGTTGGCAATTGTCCTCATCTTCTGTAGAAACGCTACATCTATTTTGCTACTTCGTGTCTTAACATCTTTATCAGTCCTGCCAAGTTTAATAATGGCCAAATTTATATGAATTCCATCTAAATTCTTCTCAATATCATTTCTGACATGATTTTTTTATGAAAACGTTTTTGCGATAACATGCTTAAATTGTACTGAAAAACTTTCTAGCACAAGAGGATATATATGTATTTCTATGATAAAATCCGTTGTGATATTTCGGGCTTGCCAAAAGCAGTGTATGGATAAGGAGTAAATGGTTTAAAAGCCGTATTTTAAATTAATACTGCAACATAACTGAATCAACAACACCCAAATCACAATTTATTGAACACTATCGTATCATTTGCTGACAAAGAATATTCGAAATGTTTGTGGATAAAGTATACTTATGAACATAGAAAGACTGATAATTCGATTTAGCAGTAAATTTTACTCCATAGGCATGTTTTGAAATGACTGTAACCCATTCCGCCAAAACATCTTTTAAGGTAGCAACTGAGCATGAATCTTCACGTCCAAGAGACGTTTGTGGTATTAGTTAAAAACTAAGGGCATGAAGTGATCATTATTTGAGGGAGAAAATCATTATGTTTATGCATTATGTCTTAGTTCCGCTGAGAGTTTCAAAAACTCTTAACTGTTTTATTGAGAACAATTAGCTCAACCACAAATTATGAAGCGTAGAAAGCCGATATGCAAACCATCGATAAGAGTTAGTTTAATGTATGAAAACAAACGTTGACTGAATATTTTTTAGCTTACAGTTAAGTTTAGATACATAAAGTGCCAAGTACTTGAGAGACATATACTAAGAGTTTGATAAGACTTCCAATAATTAGTTCTGGTCTGAAAATTAACTCATAGTCTTTGAGATTATGAGGGTTTGTACTTTGTTCAGTATACTAGAAAGTAGAAAAGTCATAAATAATTACTGATAGGATTTTATTTAGATTATTATAAAGACACTTAGGAATGTCTGCTAATATATCTCACACTGTGTTCAGACATACAGTAAACTTACGATTAATGGACAAAATATAAATTTTGGAGTTCAAGCAGACCTTTTAGAACTAGTTAACTAACTGATTAATGTTACACTCAGTCTGATTGAGCTCTTTATTAATGATCTAGATATGCAGCTGAAAAAAGTATCACTCATTGAATGATTAACCTTCAGACATCCTGAAAAGTTGCGATTTATCAGTATTATGAGAATTGTGATATTTCTTAAAATTTGTAACTCACAAACAAACGGTCCCTAAAGTGTAGCTTATCATGTCTCCTACTGCACAAATAGATTTAGCTACGTGTTATACACCATGCAAATTCTAAAACTCATTGGAAGTTGCTCGTTAGAAAGAGATCATCTACTTACATTTCAACCACTGGTTAACACTTAATGTTGATAACAGGATAAAAACTCGGGTCATTTAATCTAACCGAATTCAAACCCGTATTGAGTATTCTTCACGAAGAATTTAAAATTTCACCATTTAAAATATATAATGATATATTCTCGAAATAATAATTATAGTATTCGAGTCGATTTACAAGCGTATAGACATTGTATTTCCATAAATAAAATAAGAACGATGCAATAATGCAACATGTCCCCTAAATAAAAGTGGAAATGCAAACAATTCAATGAAGCTGCCCGAACAAACTTAAATCAAATCAGTTTTAAATTTGATATTTAGTGGCTGGAAATCTAGTGCAATGATGATCACGTCAAAGTCTATCACTATTCAAATGTCCTTCAGTATTATAGTATTTGTGCAAAAATTTCGTTTAACGTTAGCAATTGTATATAAACTCTAAAAAGGCTTATAAAAAGATAGCCAAGGGCTAGTAACACGATAAGCTACCATATCACTGCTTGTAACAAGATAAAATGATGTTTCTTGGTTGATAATGTTATTACAGCGAATAACGTTGAGCTTCTCATTTGTTTAAAATACAAACGAGAAACGATTATAAGGTTTATCTTTTTTTGAGATGTAATAGTGTTTGCTGGCTAAAAACCTGTACCTAACTAGCTAAATTTTACTTCCATTTTCTTTTTTCCGGGTGCCCTTAAATTCAAAGTGACTCCGAAACGGATGACAGACTTGGATCTTATTATCTCTACGTTTTGTGGTCGCAAAGCCATGACGAAAAATTCTTTTTGATGGTAAATTTCAATTACTGAAGACTAGTAAGCTACTGTGGTTTGTAAAAAGCTA